TCTATTAAGGTACAAGCCCAGATATTTGGTCCAAACTAGATGCTTCAACGGCACCCCAACTTAAGCGAACCCAATATATTCTGTCTAAGACCTAGCCCATTAGCCCATACATTTATGCCAAACCTTGGCTGAGCCACAAAAGCGGTATTCTGCAAAGCCTTTCGATTGCAGTCCAACACTACCCAATTCATTAAATCGATATATATATATAGAAATGTAAACAGTCAAATCAAAACACTATAATTCAAACCCTGAAAAGGAAAATGCTTCACTAGAACAAACCTCGATCTCGGATTCGAATTGTTAAAGGCAAACTTTTTTAACCCACCGTTTAAATAGAAGTGTAGAGATAGATTTGTTTTAAAAGATATATATAAAGATAAATTATTTTTTAAAATTATTAATCAAAATAAATTATTTAATATGTAACATTATTATATAGTAATTTTTTGTTAAAAAATATTTATGTGCTAAATAAATTTTTAATTATAATAACATCACATATTAAATAATAATTTATTTTAATTAATAATCAAGAGAAACAATTTATCACTATTCTTTTTGGAATGTGGTTATTACCACAGCATAAATAATTAATACAACACCCTTTTAGTATAAGTGTCTATTATACCTCTATATTATATTTTTTTTCTAAAATTTTATATTTTTTGTGTCTTAATAAATTAAAAGATATAATAATTTAATTAAGATAAAAAGGTATAGCATTAATAATTAAGGGTGTTGCAATACATCACCTACTCTTTTTTAAAAGGTAAATTTATTCCTATCTGCTATTTAAGGGGGTGAATTTAGAGACCTATCTTTCTTAGGGTCCATTTGGTGTTGTAGTTAAAATTCAATAGATAACAGGTAGCGGGTAACAGGTAGCGGGTAATATCACTTACTCTTTTTTAAAAGGTAAATTTATTCCTACCCTTTTATTTAAAGGGGTGAATTTAGAGTCTTGCCTTTTTTAGGGTCTGTTTGGTGTTGTGATTAAAATTTAACAGATAACGGATAACAGGTAATGAGTAGCAAGTGGTGATAAATAGCAGAAAACGAATAGCAGATAATATATAGTGTTATTCTTGATTTTGATGATTTAAAAACTAAATGTAAATTGGAATATTTACTGATTCTGATTGAAAGTTAACTGTGAATATATGATTTATTAATTGTCAAATATTTAATTTGAATGTGTTTTCTTTTTAAAGTAGGTTCATTTAATTGTATGATTATGTTTCCTTTATTGTTGGGAAACTAAAAACGAAAAGTGCATTCTATCGTATAATTCTGGTTTTTGAAGTATTTATGCAGAATATCCTCCAACGGTAAAAAGCATTGATTTAGCACTCTTAAGCTATAAGAACCAGATCTTGAAAAGTGGAGTATGAATAAGAACAAAGCCCTAAAGTTGAAAAACCAAGAACGTTAAGCTTTCACCTTGTGTTTTGAGAATTCTCTTACTTTTCTTGTTTTCTTTCATTATAACAAGTGAGAGAGGGATTGGGGAAACCTTGTTAGATCTAAGAATCCATCCTTGAGGTATATGACGGGTTGAGAGATTTGTAACAAGGGATTTAGACGATTGATAGCACCAACAAGCTATTGTAATCGATTTCACTAGCACCCATTGAAGCTAGTGTCAGTGGATTAAATCTCAAGCGTAGGAAACTCGAGGACTAGACGTAGGCACCAAAGAAGGTGATGAACCAGAATAAATTGAAGCGTTTGATATTTCTTACCTTACTCTTTTAATTCTTGCAATTTAGTTTACAATAGTTTATTGATTGCTTGTGCTTGATCATTGCTTTATTCAAAAATTGCATAAGGTTTTTGAAACCAAACTCACCCCCCCTTGGGTTG